GGAAACCAATTTGACAATAAATTTCATATATTAAAAAAAAATATCTTGACAAAGGTACAAGAAGAAAGAATAATTTCTTTTTTTCATGGCTAAGATACATCAGAATCAGAATACAGCTCTTACTTTGGAAACATAATTTCAAATTTTAAGATAATTAATAATAGTTAAAATTTCATTAATTCAGATTCTAGCAATTATTTGTGATCAGTCAGCCAGGAGTTGGTAACTTTCTAAAAAATAGCTCTAAGATATCAAAAGGGGAAAAAATGACAAGGGGATTTTAAAATATTAAGGAAACAGCCCTTTTCCAAAATAGTTTACACAGTATATTATCCTATAATAATTGGAATGCCAATATTTCAAAGCTATCCATTCATTAAGGCAGAAAGTAGTAGATAACATTTTGGTAATCTAACTTCTATACAGTGCCATGCTCCCATTCTCCGAAAATATCCTAAATTCCAAGAATTAATAGCTAAAAACTTTGCCTGAATTACTCTGAATCAACAAAATGTTATATTTTGAAGTTTTCTTCTCTATTCCTTGAATTGAAAGCCAAATTCACTACCAGTTACAAAGAATTCTGATAAAAGAGAAGCAATCTCAAACCACTGGTAAAATTTCAATTACGATGCCAGAGATGGGGGATGAGAAATATTATTTAGCCCCTGCTATGTGCCAGATACCCAGCCTAGGCATTTTATGAACATCATCTCATTCATCGTCACAACAGCCCTTAAAGAAAGTAGTAGTTTCACAGTTGTGCAGATGGGGTACATCAGGCCCAGAAATGCTAATTACCTTGCCTAAAGTGGTAAAGCTAGGGTTCTAACTAATTTTGAAGTCTTTCCATCAGACCACTCAAGCTTGTTGAAATCAGAGTCCTTAGTGTGTTTCTTTTCTCACTGTGATATTTAGTTTGGATTCACACAGGAACAAGAGACACCAGGGAAGATACTCCTAGCAAACCCGAAGCTGAACTCTTCTTCAAAAATCAGTAATACTTCTGTTTAAAATATTTCTTTAAATTATTCCCTTCAAAATACTTTGTTAAAAAAAAAAGGTTTAGCTATATCCAGAAAAGAATGAGAACTTAAGATATTTATATCAACTTGTTTGAACTTTTGAACTAGTTCAACACAGAATGCCAAGTGGTTTATTTAAGAAAGAAAACTTAAACCCAATTGCTTATTCTGCAGAACCAAGTGCCTTGTTTTATTTACTTTTTTTGAAGACTAAGCAGAGTTGAATCCAAAAATAATCTTTCCTAGTTCCCAATTCCTCTACTTTGAAATGTACCAGAAAGCATATGACATGGTAAGTATGGTTTTAGTTTGGGGGAAGGGACTATCTGATTCACAATAATGTATGATTGTTGCAAATAATCTTACTGATTCAACTTTTATGCGTTCAGCAGATACTAACTGAAGTTGTTTATAACCTGGCACTTAGAACTCACCAGAAATAAACCAGTTCTCTAATTAATGAAGGAAACATTAAAAATTTTGATGCTTCCAGACTGAGAAAAAAAGAAAAAAGGATTTTAATGCTTATCCAAGTGGAATAAGAACAGAAGATCTATTTTACAACAAAGTTCTTTCCTCTAGTAGAAATGCATGCCAACGAGATCTTCTAGGCAGCCAATATAACTGCAGTTGTCTCCAAAACTCAGTCTAGTATCATGTGGCTGGTTTCACATAAAACTGATACAAGTCTCCACAGATGGAAAGGCACCTGATGTTTCTTTTGACATGTGGACTCAACTGAAACAATATGATCTTTACCTTCTTGAGAGCAGAGCATGGCCATCAGCAGCAGCATTGATAACGATGGCGTTTATCGAGTCCCTACTACGAGCCAGACACACGGCTCTCCTCTCATTTAATCTTCACAGAGACCCCCTGAGCTATGCAGCAGCATTTTCTCCACTTCCCAAGAGAGGAAACTGAAGCTTACAAAGGTAACTTGCCCAAACCTTAAACTTCTCTGACTCTGGAGTCCAAGTGCTTCTTTTATTTCTACCACATACTTCTTTCATCCCTGATAAATATGTGAGAATCTTACATTTAAATTTCTCTCATCGGCAAGAGCTGAGTAACACTCCTCCAGGTTTTTACTACATTCATTTACCATATTGCTCATACTAATACATTTACCATATTGCTCATTAACTAGAATGGCATTTACTAACTGCTAAGATAACACAAAAAACACGCTCCAAAAGTTACTCTTGCATTTAAATGTTGTTGTTTCTTTAGTGAAACGTTTTTGAAATTATTGGTATGATACTGGCACATGAATGATACCTTTGCCCAAAGGTATGCTGCTCCTTTGCATGCAGATTGGTAAAGCCACCTCACCCTCTAACCCAAACCTAATACCCTGACCTTTTGTTGACTCAAAATTCCAATACATATATTTAATGTTTGCCATCTTATTTTATGTCATTTCCATTCGTATCTATGCATTGCTCATTCCTACATAACCCCTACTTCTGGTTAGTGTATTACTAACAGTAGAACCCACACTCACAGTTGATAGACACTTTGTTATGGATGAAAATGTATGAAAGCCATGTTGGTTTTACCTAATTCCACACAGAAGTGAGAGGTGAGGGGAGAGTTCATTTTTCATTTGTCCCAAGAATCAATTAAAATTATAAAAGGGGAGAGGTCTAGCCCACAAGTTGAGAAATCAGGAGTCCTGGGTTTGAAGCCTAGTCCCTATATTCTCAACCTTGCATTCTTCAATCTGTAAAATGGGGATAATTTTACCTATTTCAGAGTTGTTTGGGGGAAGAGAGCCTGGCAAAATAATAAGCATAAAATACCCAACCTAGGAGACAGCAGTTATTCTTATATTACTGTAACACTTGACTATTTTTCTAACAGATTATTCAGAATAACAAGGTACTTTTATATAAACCTTTTAGACCAAGTGAAAATATAACACAGATAATACAGAAGAATATCTAGCAGCAATAAAATAATTACCTAACACTTTTTGGCTCAAAGAACTTTTCTACTCACTGCCATGTAAAACTACAGATAAATTGTTCAAAAACTGCCTAGAATATAACATCATCCAGGTTCCTGTACAGAAATGTTTCAGTGTTATTTCCTTCCTGTTACAAAACATCATCTGATTAAACCCAACATCATAGCTGTGTTGGGCTGTATGTTTACACCTCAA